ACTTTCCAAAAATCAAAAACTCTTCTAAAACGCTAAATACAGTGTTAAATGTTGCGCAAATTTTTCATATTTATTCAAAGAAAAGTTCCAACTACAATATACTTCTTGAATAGTATATATATATCCAGTATCTTTCATTTTATAGCTATCCGCCACCTAGCTACAAATCAAATAAATAAGCCAATTTTAACAACCCACCAATTAAAGCAAATTTAAAGGCAATTGAAATTTTTAAGAATATACAAAAATTTTATAGCACAATAAGATCTACTGTTGACAATTTCATCAAGATCGGTTAAGAAACACAAAAGTTATTAAAAAAAACGTATTTTGGCTAGCCGCGTGTTTGCGGCAGCTGTATACATGTACACACACACACATTTATACGCGTCTTTATAGAATTCTGTCAATAGCATTGCAATTGAGATTGTATTGTTCCCTGTGCTGTGTGTATGTACTGCTATTTTAATTCGTTTTTTTTTACTACGGCTAAAGCAAACGAGTTCTTGGCCCGAGCTGCATATGGTGGTAGTAGTAGGGTATCCCCTAGTCCTGACTAGAGCCTCTTACTTATTTTCTTGTATTCTCATAAATTTTAAGTCCCAAATAAAATGATAGGTGTTAGCCACAGGTTTTAACTACCCGTTATAAATAGAATTAATATTCTATTTCTTTAAATCTAAGAAAATCAGGTATTATAATTTTCATAAATTTTATAAAACCTCTGAGAATAAGGGAGATTTATTGGAACGCCACGCGTCTGTGGCTTGTATATGCGCGGCTGTTGTGGGCCACTGTGTGGATGTTAGATATTCATGTACCATGAATGAATAAAGCGAAATCGCTTGGGCTGCTTTCTACCTTTTGCTGACTGACTGCTCCTTTGGCAGTCGCATGACGTATACGCCGCTTTGTCTGACTCGAAACGGGCAGCCTTCTTGATATAATGTCTCCTGTGGCCAGTCGGTTCGCTCGATTTGCGTAACTATGCAAAAGTTGACTCATTCGTTTGTGTGTGTGTGTGAGTGTATGTGTGTGAGTCTGCATGTGTGTGTGCATTGCGTGTAGGTGTGCTGTTTACAGTGCGGGGCTCTTTTAACTGTTATAGCACACACGTCTGACTAAAACAGCATCAGAGTGTAATTAGCCAGCCTGCATAATTTAGCCGCATGTTGTTTTCTTTATGCTAGGCTTATTTGGTGGGCAGAAGGACGGCCCGACCACGCCTTTTGTGAGCCCTAAATTGTTATTAGCTTGCAATTGTATTGATTTTTGGTCCACCCTCCACAACGTGCGACTGTGGAATGCCATTTTGTAGCATTAATTGCTGTCATATAAATTGATATTACTCGTGGCCCACTTTAATTTGTGGTCAGCACGCGAAAAATACGTACATTTAAACAATTGCCAGCGCATTCTAAGCACGCTTATAAATTTATTAACACTGCAAACTTCTTTAAATAAGATCTTTATTTGGAGTTAAAAGTAACAAGATTGGATTGAACTTTGTTTAATTCCTACATACCAAATATCATTAGTATAGCTTGGAAGCTTAAAAAAAGATTTCACTGATCTTTTTGAAGGCTTAAGTTCTATTTTATAAACGAAAACAGATTTTGAAAATATGATATTGCATTCAGGGTGTTTTAAAAAGACCAATAGAATACTTGTCACGACAAGTATTCGGTGTTCTGTTTAAAAAAAAATATAATTGTGCCCTTTAGTAGAAAGCTAAGAAGAAGAACAACACGTCAGCACACTTTGGGCCAACTATAATTTATCGCACCTGGGCAGCTGGTTGTACTTGTATAGAGAAACTTGGCTGTAATCCTCGTCATCGGTTCGAGCTGAAGTCGTCGCATTTATTGTAGGGGCGTTGCCCAGGGTCTGAGTTTTAATTAGCCTTGAGTGCGTGTGTTGCGCCAAAAGGCATCAACAAATTGTTATATAAGCCACACGCCTAAAAAGCGTTTTTAGGGCCTAAACATTGTCGTCACTTAGCCAGCATTTGCAGTTGACCAATTTACGCAGCACGGCGAAAACGTTGTAAACGTTGCCGAGAAGACGTGTTTCTTGCTTTTGGCTTATAATGGCTGATATGTAAGCGTTTATTATGACCCTGAATGTTGTCGAATGTTGTACAGGCCAGGCCCCGTCATGGCAAATGTTAAGGTTAGCGGACCTACAGAGGCCATAACTGAAACCAAAACGTTTTTAATTCGCGTGTTTACGACAAAATTGCATGTGGCTCGTGTTAAGGCAAAAAGCAAACAGCAAACAGCAAGAAACAACGTGGAAATCTCGTGAAATGAAAATATTTTCGAAAACATAAAAAATATCTGCAGTAACATTTACACAAATGAAAAAAGTTAGACAAGCAAAGAGTGTACTCGACCAGGAATTGTTCTGTACACATTTCCGCAAAATATACTCGTTATAAGTTGTATTCTAATTTGTCTGTGGGTATATACAAAAAATTACATTTTTGAACTTTTTAGTTTATGAGAGAGTAGAGTAAAGTATCAGGAAATTTGGAATAACCAGCAAATAAAATGTACTACTATTCTTAATGATGTTCCCAAAAATCCTAGTAGAATAGTCGATAACAATTATAATATTTTTTTTAAATGCCAAATAGAAATATCTAATTCTTATAGCTTCAAATATTACTGCTAAGTTCAGCTCGTAGATCAGATAATGCTCCATCTACTCGAAAATGCCGGCAATTCCGTGTGAAAAAATCCGTGCACAGAAAGCACAATACCACAAGGACATAGTAGTTAACATAGTTTTACTGTACCACGATACCAAGTAACTACTACTTATAATCTACCTGCCACTTCGCCGTCAACATTTGGCGCATAGTTGAATTTTCGTTTTTGAACTGAACATTTTAAACAGAACTGGGAATTTAAAATTCTTACGGCACATAAATGTGTTCGTCCAAAGTTTTTCTTCAATTTTTTTTTTGTATTTTTCGCTGTGAAATGATTTCGCCTTTTTGCTTTTTAAGCGTTCAACTTTATCAGAGAACTTGAAGGTTTCAAACTGAAAGTCAAAATATAAAAGTTTGCACATTTTATTGTTTGATGAGTTTTGAATAGTGTGCGGCCAAAGGGTGTGGCGATTGTGAAAATTGTTTTCTCTTTCGCTATACATATCTCTCCTCTCTCCTCTCTCAACTTTTTGCTTTTCAACAAATCATCCATAACGAGTTGTGAAATTGATTAATGATGGATGAGTTCAACATTTTGGGCAATTGAATAGAGAGAATAATAGATAATCTAGAATGGGTTATGAAAAGTTTTAATGTTCGAATTTTATTTAATAAATATTAAAATATGCCTATGCTATATAAAATTATTACATTTTATATAACAAAGCATTAATAGCAACCAGCACTTTGAAAAACTTAGGTTGATATACGATACTTATAATATTGACTTATATTTAAACTTTTAGAACTTTAATTATATTCACAGCCATTTAATATTTATTATATTCATTATTTAATATAACTTGTATGGGGCATGCCAATGAGAACTTTGCAGTAACGATGTTTAAATTTAAGATTTTTTAATTTAAGCTAAACTGAAAAATCTCTATTATTACACAATCTATACCTTACATACACATTTTAAAGGACACTTTGCAGCTTAGCAGATAGTTTATAAAACATTGTAACATTAAAGATGTGCGTCTACCATATATTCATATTATTTTAAGTACTGTTATAATATTATACTGTTAGCTTATCGTCGTGTTCCTTGCAGTAAATCCGTCTTTATATATAAGTGAAGAGTAAAATCGCCTAGTCGAAATCTACAGAAATGTGCAATGCCAGAGATATCAAAATACATAATACTGCAACTCATTTCATTTCAATTGAAAGAACAACAAAAAAATTGTTGAAAATGTAGTCGAGCTGACACGAACTAAGGATTATCAAGCGTTGTGTGTGTGCATGTGTATTTCAACTTGTTAAGCAAAATAAAAAAAAATATAAAAACTAAATAGGAAAATTACATAAAACGGGCTTTAGGACGCTTCCATGCTAAGCTCACGTTAAGAGCAGCTGCAAAACAAAAAAGGATATACAGAAAACATTCAAATTAAAATATTCGATTTAATTAGGTACATGTCCTCTGTGTGTGTGTGTGTTTTTAGAATTTAAACGCTTTTTGTACTCTAATGGACACTAGTTAGACAACTAGCAAACAAATATATGAAACATATAAGCAAAGTACATTTTATATAAATATAATCCAGGCAGCTTTTAGCAAAACATATTTAAAATAAAAATAAATTAAATATTATCTCAATTATTTGTATCATACGGCCCGAGTGAAGAACAGTTGAAACAAAGGATACACACAGACAATACGCCCCGAAAAGTATGCAATTCGATTGTGAAAAGAGCACATTTTTGAAATGTTTATAAGCAGAGAGTCGTGAAATATATTTGTAAAAAACAAAAGCACAAAAAAAAAAAAACGAAACATATTTTTTAAATAGACACCAAGCGATAACAAATTTTTTGACATATATATATACATATATTTTTTGATAATCCAACAACAGAAACAACAACAAAGCGAAATGCACAAAAACGTATTCCCCAACCTAAGTTAAGTCAATGATTTTTTTTTAAGTTTCGTTAGGTTAAAGCATAGTTTATATATTTAAAGATTGTTATACCAAATGAAATATTTACTTTTGATGGTTTCAATGAGGTTTATTTTAAACGATTTTTATATGTCACTCGGTTGAAGCTTAAGCAAGTAATCCAAAGTACAATCATTTTTGTCAGAACAGACACAAAACAAAACATAAATAATAAATACTACACAAAAAGACCTAAATGAAACAGTTTATTGGCTAGACATAATGAATTGCACAACATTTTAAAGGAGAGTCACATCAAATTAGGTATATTTACAGGGACAGACAGTAACAAATACAAAAACAGAAACAAAAAATATAAACAAATAACATAAACAACAATACTTTTGCTAAAAATTTTAATGTTTATTTTACAACACGCTTAATATGAGCAAATGAAAAGTGCTGCAGATTAAGATTATATTTAATTCAAGTGTTGTTAGAGTCGCTGTAATAGAGGTTAAAATCGCGTAAATTGAGGTTAGGTTTGCAAAAAGTGAGGTTAGATTTGATAACTGCTTAAATTGAGGTTCGAGTTGATAAACTTCAAGTCTAAACTACTAAAACTGAAGTTTAAAGCAAGCTTTTTACCACAAGAATTGAGTTGTACTCAATATTAACGGTCAAATTTTAAGAAGAAAGCTTTTTATTGACAGAATTGAGATTTGACTGCTTAAAAAGTGGGGTTACTCAGTGAGCTTAGAACTGCAAAAAGTGAGGTTAGAAAGCTGGCAAAATTTTTGGTTATAACTGGCAAGTGAGGATTAAATAAATGCATATTGAGATTATAACTGCTTAATAATTGCGCAAATTGATGTTAGAAAAGTAGAAAACGAGTTCAAACCGAATGTTATTTAGGCGTAAATTATAGTTAACAACTAGAGCTACATCTAAGCGCATCAAGCAAAATGTATGCAGCTGCTGGCGGCGCCTCGCTGGCCTCGCGCCAGGCGCGTCAACGCCAGCGACAGCAGAAGAAGAACTTACAGCTACAAGCGAAACTACATCCACCGAAACCAGCTGGCGTTGGTGTCGGGCTCGGCGCTGCCGATGGTGGCGCCTCGACGCCAACACGCAGCCAGTCGCGGCAGTTCCATCAGCTGCCCACAAATTATTTGCGGGCACCGCAGCCGCAGGGACGCAAACTGAGTGCCACCTACACGCAGTCCCGATCGCTGCTGCCCATCGAGGAGGCCGGCGATACGCAGTCGGTGTTGCAGCTGCGCATGCACTCGCACACGCATGGGCATGGTCACGCCCACGGCCTGCACGGGCATGGCCATAGTCATCTGCATCATGGTCTCGGCGCTCCAATACAGACGCCCTATCAACAGTTTGCCTCATCACATGGACGTGTCTCACCGAAACTCGTGCACCGGCACAGCGGCAGCAGCGCTGGCTTCCACCCAGCAGCAGCAGCAGCAGCCGCGGCGGCGGCAGGAGCAGCGGGTGGAGGGCGGCTACATAAATCGGCAACGGCCACGCTGCCCCTGGTATCGCAAATGGAGGCAACGCCGCCAACGACACCCGCGTTGCCATCGGCTGCGGTCGGCGTTAAAACGACAGCGGCGTCGTTGGAGACAGACGCCACGCCCATGTTTTCAGCAGCGCCAACAGCACTGGGCATGGCCATGGCTAGCACATCCGCAGCGGCGGCGGCGGCCGCCGAGGCTGAAGCTCATTTGGAGCTGGCCGGCGCGGCGGCCATGTTTGTAGCCCACCATGATGCGATCATTGTAACGCCGGCCACGCCCATGGCCTCGCCGGGTCACGCCGCAGCTGTGAAGCTGCGACGCGCCGACGACGACGAGGAGCCGCACGATTCAGCCGAGCGTCAGCCCCTAACCGCCACGGATGCCTACGACGAGGATGAGGCCATGCAGCCGCCCAGCGGTCCGCTAGAGCGCAAGTGCAGCGTCTATCGCATGCGCCGCAGCGATGCATTTGAGCAGAGCGACGCCGGCGTCACCGGCGGCCTCAAGCGTCAGCTGCGCGAACTGCAATTCCAACAGCCGCAATACGTGCCGCTGGTCAGCGATGAGCCGCAGCTGCTCTTCAAAGGTCTGGGAAATGGACGCAAGATTCAGATATGCGCCTACTGCGAGGAGGGCATTTGCGTCTGTGAGCACATCGAGGTAAATTCAGCAGTTTCTAAAGCCAAAGTCTGCCTAGTTGTGTCTCTTTTCTTTTTTTTTTTATATATATTATATGTGTGTGTGTGTGTGTCGTATGCTCTTAAGTGTAAATCTAATCTAACTTAATCTTGCATGTTCTGTATTCTAAATGTCAGCTGTGTATCTCTGTGAAGGCTTTAAGAAGTTGGCATGCCCCAGGGTATACAAAATTATATTCAATTTGAAGTGATCAGAGTTCTATAATATAACACAATATTATTTTTTTAATGTCGGATTATTACAGCTGGGCTCAGCTAATTTGATCATTCTGACTGCAATTTGAATTAGAAAACAATGAGAGAGTTACATCGAAAATATTTCTTTTCCAAACACGATTTTTTCTACTTTAAAATATTTATAAAAAATGTTTATTATTAGTTGATAAAATATGCTTCATTTTAGATTTAAATCTATTTAAATAAATAAATAAGTTCTAAGTTTTCAGTTAGCCAATTTTTCTGTGAGTATGTTTTTATCCAAATAGTTACATACGCTAAATTATTCTCAGGCCTGATGCTGTTTTATATATATTCATTTAATTAATGTGGGTATAATCTGATTCTGTGTGTATAGAATAACTGGTATGCTCTATTGGAATTTATCAACTGGCATTATTTTAAACTTTTTTTTAAAGCTGCTGCCAATGTCAATAGCGTCAATTGACCCACTCCCAAAAGGAGAACAAAATTTAGCTCTCCATTTCGTTAGGTGCTTGCAACTTTTTCCATAGCTAACCTTATTTTGCTGCGATGCCATAACTGGCAAGAATAATAACAGCAACAGAAAATGGGAAGCGCATAATGTGCCTTTGTATCGGCCTGATAATGCGACGCCCCGGAAAAGCTTGGCAAGCTCTTCAATAGCGCCGCCCACGTCGCGCCACGCCCCTAAGTAGATGCAGCTGCTGCCAAATGTTGTGTAAAAGGCAAAAAGCAGCTCAAAATGTGTGCCATAAAAGTGTAACATTCGGTGGCTCAAGGTGAGCGGTGGTGCCGTGGTGTCGTGGTGCGGAAGTTGAGTGGTTCAGAGCCTTTAAAGTTTTTCTCGCTTGCTCTTAACGCAGTTATTGCAATTATTTGCAATTATTTGACTTGCATAAAAACTGTAAAAATAAAAAAAAAATACATCAAATATTGCAAGCTCAGAGTACCTGGCTGTGAGATGCTCTCTACTTCAAAATACACGTTTATTTTTTGGCAATAGCTTACCATTTTCGTTGATCATTATGAAAACAATTGAATACATGGATTGCCTTCATTTAATAATGCTTGACTAGCAATAGGAATTTAAAAATCGTAATGCATTTTTTTGATATCCCTAAATCTCTCTCGTGAAAGCCTGCAGTTTGTCTATACACTTTTGCCTATAAACTTATCACAACTTTTGCGAACAGGGTATTCAAAATTGCACAAATTAAACAAAACTTTGCACAAAGGAAAATCTCTGTACCAAACCGAGGAAAATGGTTGCACAAAAAAAATAAGCAAACAGCAAAAGCGAAGGGCGGCTAAAATTTATTATACGCCCACCCACGCGCGCCCTCTCATCCACTCTTTCGCCCCCCTCTTGCACGTGCTGAGTGGCCACTCAAGTCTCTAAGAGAGTCATAGATATATATATATGTATGTGTAGTACGTACTTATATATAGTTTCTCTCACATAGTTCGCACAAAAACAACGGCTAGTAAATTAGCTGGAAAATAGTGGAAAAAGTGTGCGGCGAAATGGCGGACGCCAAAAATGTGGAAAATAAAATAAAAAGCAAACAAAAAAAAGCACAACGAATGTCATAAAAAAGTAAAATGAAAATCCCAAATAACGTATTTGAAAGGTAAAGAGGCGAAACGAAAGGTGTAAAAATACGTAGAGCTCTTAGGCCAGCATGAATAAGCACATAAACAAGATGACGGCATTGAGATTGGCAACTGCATTAGCTTTAATTGCACCTGCACAGGGCTACGATCAAATCACATTTATTTTTCTTTAAGACTTTGCAGTTAAATATTTAGAAATGGTTTGCTTATAACATATCCAAATTGTGCTATGGATTGTAAAAGAGGAACTTGAACTTGATGTGTTCTTCTTTTCTTACAATTGGCGTAAATTAAAATGAAATAAATAAGTCTTGGGCACAATATAAAAGGCAACCCTTGATAAATTACCTTAACTTGGGATTCAAGCCCAACATTTTGGCATGCGTAGACCTTTTACTATATGATGCAATATTTATTGCAGTACGTTTAATATCTAACACTTCTGTTTAATTTGTAGTTGCGATTGTTCAAATTTAGAAAAAATTGATTTAAGTGCCATAAACGAAATTTGCAGACCCTAAACTATTGTCGAAAAAAAAAAAAATCACCAATCAGCATTACGACTGAAATGCCAATTGTTAACGCTCAACTGTATAGCTGCCTCTTTTTGGACATATTTAAGCCCATCTCTGACGGCTGCCCTTTTGTTTTGCCTGCTCCCTCACATCGCAAACTGTCATCGAGCAGCAATTTAATTTTCAATTACGCGATGGCTGCCACAAAAAATGAGAAGAGAGAATTGCACTCCCTGTCGTTGGCCATTCCAAAATTGCAGTCTCAATAATTACTCAAACTGTCGCCTGTGGCTCACTATCTGTGGCCCACTCCCATGGCCCATCGCCAGCCCCCCCCGGGCTACCCTCCGGGCTACCCTCGACCATTTTACAGGCTCTTCATCATGTGCAGCCTGTTGGCGCTGACCAAAGCCAGCCTCACAGGAGACTCGTTCGTTTCGGTTTTTTTGTGTTGTTGTCGTAATTGTTTGTCAGGCTTGTCGTTGGCTTTTTTTACTATTGTTGTTGTTGTTTTTGTCGTAATTGCAAGTGACATATTGAAGTCCCAGTTACGCCATTTGATTGAAACCCCTGCCCTTCCCGCACCCCTTCGATGACAATTCACAATTAAGTGACAATCAGTGGGACAGTTGCGCCGCGCCGCAGCGACTCTTGAGTTTGTTCGCTGTTCGCCGCATGCTTTCCGGCTACAGAAATTCAATTTCAGTTGCATAATTCATTGACTCACACACACAAACATAGATGTGTTGTACCAATTTTTAAGTCCAGCCACATTTAAATTCATTTTCAATTTTTGGTCCGCTTTTCTTTGCTCCTCTTTTGGCAAACATTTGTCTTCAATATTTGCCCATTTTATATATTGGGATGTGTGCGTGTGTCCTGATTGTTGCAGTCGCCATCGCCAATAAAAAGCATTTAAAAAGACACAAATTATAACGTGCTCCCCACAGAACTCAATTGCATTTGACATTTTTATGGGCATACAAATTTACGAGTCAATTCTGGAAATCACTTTCGCCTATAAACCAGTTTAATATATAGCTCTCGTTTGTTTTACTTAAGCATTATCTGAATGTGCTGAAATCTATTCAATTCGTATTCCGAAAAGAATAAACTTGAGGCTTAGTATCGGAGGTGTTTCTTTTAATTGAGCTTTTACAAGAAACCCTGAAAAGTAAATACATTTTCAGAAATTTTGAGATATATACCAGATATCGACAATATTTTTGGAATACATTTTTCAAGGACGTTTTTTTGTTCAAGATAACGGGAATATTGGAAATGATTATTATTTCCTAGAAATGTAAAGAAAATTGCGTCAAAAGAATTCCCTAATCGATTTGGAAACACTTTCCTCTCATTTCACATATTTATAAAAAGTCCGAATATCAAAGCATATTAAGTTTTAATTCCTGTTGAATGTGCGAATATTATTGCGACGTTATGCATGGTTTCGATTAACGTGCCGCAAATCAGACGAATGCAAATGGCTCAATTAACGGTTGGCTTATACGGCTGAATAAATAATAGTCAATACACGCCGCAACCATACCAGACTCAGACACACTCACTCACACGGAAGACAAATGATTGTTTTGGACAGTCAAATAACATGGCTTTCAACGAGGACAGTTGCCATTTCTCACGTGTGTGGCAAGCGGCATGTGGCATATGCAAATTTTTCGAGACGATTCACCGGCTTTAATTACCTGTAGACAAGGCACTCTGAGCACCCTCTCAGCCCGCCCAGTTGACATGTGAACAAGAAAGCGGGCGCTGTGCCAAAATTGTTGCCAATACCAAGACGAATGCGAATACTGAATACTGAACACTGAATACTGAATACTGAATACTCAGTAGAGTACGACTGTTTGCAATTCGCATTAATTAGCCAACGGGTTGCAACTTTGTCGACGGACCGACCCATCGTGCAACACGTTCCCATTGGGCCCGGCTGTAGGAGGGCAGCGTCTAATGGGCTCTCAACTGCGTTTATTATGGTCAAGTTTTGCATATGCAAGCCACAACCTTTGAGGTGTTATTGATTTATCTTCCAGAATGCAACCGCATTTAAATGTGAAAGTTGACTTCGGCTTGCGGCAAGATATTTCCATAGGTCCCTTTGGAAAGACTGGGCAAGTTTAATTCAATTTTTACTTTAGTCAGTAGCTGAGGATTTAATGGGAAAGAGTTTTGAAGAAATACCTAGAAAACATAAAATATTGCCTATAGTTAGAATTACCTTTTTTAAAGTATGACTATTCACCTTCGTTTGGCAACTTATTTCTCACTTTTTTATTTCTCCCATCAAGAAAGGATATCCCTATATTAAGCAACCCTAAAGCTCTAGAAATTGTTCAAAAAAATTAAAAATCTTAAAATCATGATTTCTTAGAGCAACAATATTTGCTTTTACTAATCTTTAGCTTTTGTTTTATCGAAATAATTCAATTTGCTTCACTTCAAAAATTCTTTTGTTGCCGCTGCCCCATTGGTTTTACCCTTCTCTTGATTTCTACTTTATATGGATTTCAATAAATTCGAAAAGTTGTCAGTTTTAATACACTCAACACAATTGGCCCATTAAATGCAGTCAGGCGGAATGCAGGTCGTGATATATGTATATATATAT